GTGGGGTTGGGGGTGTGTGGGTGGTGTTGAGGGTGTGTGGGTGGTGTTGAGGGTGTGTGGGTGGTGTTTGGTGTGTGGGTGGTGTTTGAGGGTGTGTGGGTGGTGTTTGAGGGGTGTGTGGGTGGTGTTGAGGGTGTGTGGGTGGTGTTTGAGGTGTGGGTGGTGTTTGAGGGTGTGTGGGTGGTGTTTGAGGGTGTGTGGGTGGTGTTTGGGGGTGTGTGGGTGGTGTTTGAGGGTGTATGGGTGGTGTTTGGGGGTGTGAGGTGGGGTTGGGGTGTGTGCGTGGTGTTTGAGGGTGTGTGTGGTGTTGAGGTGTGGGTGGTGTTGGGGGTGTGTGGGTGGTGGTTGGGGTGTGTGGGTGGTGTTTGAGGGGTGTGTGGGTGGTGTGTGGGGTGTGTGGGTGGTGTTTGGGGTGTGTGGGTGGTGTGTGGGGTGTGCATGTGGCGTTGGGGTATGTGGGTGGTGGGGTTTGTGGGTGGTGTTGGGGGGTGTGTGTGTGGGGTTGGGTGTGTGTGAGTGGGGTTGGGGTGTGTGGGTGGTGTTTGAAGGTGTGTGGGATGTGTTTGAAGGTGTGTGGGTGATGTTGGGGATGTGGGTGGTGTTGGGGTATGTGTAGTGGTGTTTGGGGTGTGTGGTTGGTGTTGGGGTGTGTGGGTGGTGTTGGGGGTGTGTGGGTGGGGTTGGGAGGTGTGGATGGTGTTGAGGGTGTGTGGGTGGTGTTGGGAGTGTGGATGGTGTTGGGGTGTGTGCGTGGTGTTTGAGGGTGTGTGTGGTGTTGGGGTGTGTGGGTGGTGTTGAGGGTGTGTGGGTGGTGTGTGGGGTGTGTGGGTGGTGTGTGGGGTGTGGGTGGGGTGGGGTTGTTGGGTGGTGTGTGAGGGTGTGTGGGTGGTGTGTGGGGTGTGTGGGTGGTGTGTGGGGTGTGTGGGTGGTGTGTGGTGTGTGGGTGGTGTGTGGGGTGTGGGTGGTGTGTGTGAGGGTGTGTGGGTGGTGTTGGGGTGTGTGGTGTGGTGTTGGGGTGTGCAGGCGCTGGGGTATGTGGGTGGTGTTGGGGTGTGTGTGTGGGGTTGGGTGTGGGGGGTGGGGTTGGGGTGGTGTTTGAAGGTGTGTGGGATGTGTTTGAAGGTGTGTGGGGATGTGTTTGAAGGTGTGTGGGTGGTGTTGGGGGTGTGTGGGTGGTGTTGGGGTGTGTGGGTTGTGTTGAGGTGTGTGGGTTGTGTTGGGGTGTGTGGGTGTGTTGAGTTGGTGGTGTTGGGCGTGTGTGGTGGTGTTGGGGTGTGGGTGGGGTTGGGGAGTGTTGGGTGGTGTGTGGGGTGGTGTTTGGGGTGTGTGGTGTTGGGGAGTCTGTGGGTGGTGTTTGAGGGTGTGTGGGTGGTGTTGGGAGGTGTGGATGGTGTTGGGTGTGTGGGTGGTGTTTGAGGGTGTGTGGGTGGTGTTGGGAGAGTGTGGATGGTGTTGAGTGTGGGTGGTGTTTGAGGGTGTGTGGGTGGTGTTTGAGGGTGTGTGGGTGGTGTTTGAGGGTGGTGTGAGGGTGTGTGGGTGGTTTGGGGTGTGGGTGGTGCTGGGGTGTGTGGGTGGTGTTTGGGGGTGTGTCGTGGTGTTTGAGTTCGTGGTGTTTGAGGTGTGTGGGTGGTGCTGAGGTGTGTGGTGGTGTTGGGGATGTTTGGGTGGTGTTGGGGTTGTGTGGGTGGTGTTTGAGGGTGTGTGGGTGGGATTGGGTGTGTGGGTGGGGTTGGGTGTGTGGGTGGGGTTGGTGTGTGGGTGGGTTGGGTGTGTGGGTGGGTTGGGATGTGTGGGTGAGGTTGGGGTGGGATTGGGGTGTGTGGGTGGGGTTGGTGTGTGGGTGGGGTTGGGGCGTGTGGGGTGAGGTTGGGGTGGGATTGGGGTGTGGGGTTGGGGTGTGTGGGTGGATTTGGGGTGTGGGTGGGTTTGGGGTGTGTGGGTGGGTTGGGGTGTGTGGGTGATGTGGGGTGTGTGGGTGATGTTGGGGGTGTGGGTGATGTTGGGGGTGTGGGTGGGGGGCGTGGGTGGGGTTGGGGTGTGGGGTGTGTGGGTGATTGTGAAAAGGGGGCAAATGAGTGGCCTCCAGAGCCCCCAAAATATTGATAAAGTCCACAACCTCTTTCCCCCAAAATTGTCTGGACTTTCAATGATTTACTGTAATTATTAGTTTATGTTTTGTTACCTGTTTTATAAGTTAATGGATTAATTGCCTGGAATTTTTCAAGAACATAAGCACCATGTTAACAGAGGGCTGACTAAACTGTATTAGTTTTGTGCCATTTTAGTTCACACGCTAAAAAGTAAATTTTCAATGTAACTTCCATTCCTGTAAAATATAAAACATTTTCTTTGGGTCCATGCAACATGAGATTTTTGGATCTATATGGTAGGTCTTGGGTAACATAACATAGATAACCTAAGACCCAAGAAATCAGAAAATTCAACAAACTGGTTCAATCTTGGTCCAAGGGTACTGGAGTTGAGGGACTATATCTGTACGGTTACCCTAGATAACTCTAAATTTGATATAATTCAGAATGACAGTAAAATAATTGAGAATAAATGAAATTTTAATTCTTTTTTACATAATTCACAATATTCTGAGTTATGAAAATGCAATCTCGGAATGGCGAAACACGTGCAACCAATGCAGGATGTGTGGGAGGCTCTACCCCTATTCCGCTCCCCCATACCCCAATCAGTGTGATAATTCCAGTTCAAGAAATATTTCTTCCCTTTAGGTTTTTGACAATATTTTTTTTCTTGCACGTTCTATATGAAAGATTTTGTGCATATAACAGAGACCAAAAAAAATTAAGAAAATTGCATACTCCTATGTCTACCCGAAATGACGGTAAACCCTCCATAACTCGGCACATATGGGGCTCTGGCCTTGCCGAGTTATCCCAAATTCTTACTTATCAAGGCACTTCTTCCCTCCTACAAAAAAATAAAAATAAGTAAAATTATCAACCCATGTACAAGGTCTGTCCAAAAAAAAAAATTTTTTTTTTTAAATAGTGCGCCAACGAGCCGGCACAGCGTGCTGGCGATGGGAGCACTGTATAGCGGTGACCTTGACCTTTAGTCTTACACTAGCCGCATCATGCCACGTCAATTAGTCATCAAGCTACACATGCTAGAGTGAACGTGTGTTTAGTGCACTTGGCGATTTGTTGCAAGTTGAACAAAGAAGGATCTTGAAGAGCAACGTGTTTGCGTGAAATTGTTTCAAATTGGGAAAACTTTTAAGGAGACTTTTCAAATGTTGCAACAGGTTTATGGGAAGGATTGTTTGAGCCGTATGCAATGTCACGTGTGGTACCAGCATTTCAAAAGGGGAAGAACATCCACCGAAGACGATTCCAAATCTGGACGTCAGAGTCGCTCAAAGGTGGAGTGATGTTGATCGTCTTTTTTGATTGGAAGGGCGTCGTTCATCATGAGTTTGTTCCACGTGGTCAGACAGTCAATAAAGAGTTTTACTTGGAGGTCCTGAAGCATTTGAGGGAGGCAGTGCGAAGGAAGAGGCCTGAGGCGTGGACAAACAAGACCTGGATGCTGCACCGTGACAATGCACCTGCTCACACGTCGCTCCTTATCCGTGACTTTTTGGCAAAGCACGAGACGACTATCGTCCCCCAGCCACCCAGCACTCCGGATTTGGCCCCTGCGGACTTATTTTTGTTCCCAAAGTTGAAATCCACCCTGAAAGGTCGCCGATTTCAAAAGATAGAAGAGATAGAAGAAAATTCGCCACGAGACCTGCACACCATCCCTCAAAACGCATTATAGAACTGGAAAAAAACGTTGGGAGCGGTGTATCAACAGTGGAGGGGAGCACTTTGAAGGAGACAAGTCTGATCAAGTTGTAAGTAAACAATAAATTTGTTTTTTAAAAAGTTCGGTTTCTTTTTGGACAGTCCTACTATGTTGTACATGTAATTACTAAGTGTAAAAAAGTAACTTACCAGCACTGCAGGCGAGGAATGAGGCATCACAGCAGGCGACACAGAGGCATGGTAGGAGATGCAAGGGGCCAGATATGCCGAGATTTTCCCAGATAATTTTATAATTTTCCGCTCTCAATGCTAACTACCGCCCACATAAGAAATGTTTATTCTTTATGTTTTTTAACTTATAATAATTTTGGGGAGCACAATTATGCATGAAATATTGTGCAAGCATATACCAGTTAGACAAAAAAAAAATTAAATAAATAAATAAATTACGTATGTCTACCCGAAATTACGGACTGAAAAATAACTGCTCTCAATGCTTACTCTGGCGTCCTCTCTCTTGCACTGGTTCAGCCCCCATCACCTCTGAGACCTTCCACATGGCACCACAAGCTTGAATTGTCCTTATCCTTCACCTGCAGTGCTGGTAAGCACTAATTTTTGGGCAAGTTTTCTGATTATGGTAGGCTATTTTGGCCAAAAAATTGGGCATTGGGGGTGAGGCGAAAGACCAGGAGAAAAGTGCCTTAATAACTCAGAATAGTTAAAGCCCCATATATTGCGAATAATCAAAGGTTTATTGTAGAGTATTACATGAAACTGCTGAATACAGACTAAGAAATATGTTTGCATAAAACGTTTCCAACATGGCCTTATGGTTATGAATCTGGGTGTATCCAAGGAACAGATACCAGATATGTACAAAGCACAAATAAAAAACTTACTAAATTATTTACTGTAATATTAAACAATAAAAAAAATTACAGGTTTCATGAACTACATGAATGCTATGATTACACAGTTCACCTTGAACATAAGGTGTGGATGTGGATACCAATGACTAAAGAATGAAATATGAGAAGTACAGGAGCTTAGGGAATCATTGGTAAGGTACATACAAGTGACTGTCAAGAAAGAATGAAAATATAAACTGCATAAGAAATATAGTGTACTTTTTTATTTCTTTAACCACAGACTAACAATACAGAATAACAAGTTTTATAAAACTATAAAGGGAAAACAAAAACCACTTTCTCTTACTGAATAATACTCCCAGTTTTTAGGAGTATAGTTTTCAGGGATGGGAGACAGCTGTGCAGGACCAATAAACACATTAGCAGCAAACACTAATGCTCCAAGGGGTATGGCACCAAGCATGACATAGAAGTGAAACATGTCCTTGAACTTGTGCCACTGCCAGCGAGAAGGAGTAATTACCATCTTCCGAGGGCCATGCCCCATTTCTCGTTGGACTGAAAAGAATGATGAAACTTAACTAAATTCCAGAACAAAATAACTGTGGAGTAAGGTAATACCAAAAAAGCATACATAAAAAACACTAATGTGGCTATGGCCATATTCCTGTTTATTATCTTTGTTCAACAAAATATTTTGGAACTACTGTACAGTAATTTGTCAACTTGGTTTCTTTTAAAAAAGATTTAACCTCAATATTAGCACAAGTAGAAATCTCGTAAAATAAACACCTACTATATAAATTTTAAAAATAAGGAAGAATTCCACAAGTTGTATCTGTACAGGTATTTCAAGAGAGGCAAAAACTATATTCTAATTACATGGTACAAATATTTTTTAGTTTTTTAGTCTATTTCTATGTTCATAAATCACCTGTAGTGGGCAGAGCATGAAGGATGAAGGAAATTGAGGGTAAAATATAGTGAAAAAATAATATGATACTAAAATGATGTCTTTACGTTCTTTATATGTGAAGAAATTACCGTATTTACCGGCATAAAAGACCCACCACCGCATAAGACGTACCACCCCTATTTTACAAGGATATTTTGTGTGAAATTTTTTTTGGTACATTTCATCATACAATTACTGAAAGTGATTTAAAAGTGGTTTTGTAGGGGAAAATATGATTTTGTGCATGTAAATACAATATATACTGGAATCAAGTAGGAAATTATATACAGTGGTCCCTCGGTTAACGA